CCTCTTGGGCTTCATCCAGAATCCACTGACGGCAGCAGCTCTCCATTATTTCAGTGAGGTTTTCCTTACTCCTTACTGATGAGCTGCTTGCACTTAGGCATCCCAGTCCCTGCTTCTCTCCTTCCCCTTGCAGGAGTTTCGCTCCTGAGAAACTTAGTTCTGCTGAATAACCCACTCGGAAAGCGCTGCTGTGCTGGCAGAGCGTTTCTTTGCTGGGAAATGACTTTATTGTTGGAATTCATAAAGCTTGCAGATCTTCAGAGGTGAAAGTGGCTTTATGAGTTACATGATTTTTATGGTCCTGTTTCAATTCATGTCCTAACATCCAAGCAAGGTTGTCATGTAATTCACTTTTAACTTATTTAAACTGATGATCTGAGAGTCTGATCCACAGCCTTCTAGCTCTAAGGCCTGCTTTTCCTATCTGCGAGGTCCGTGATGGTATGCTAGCAATGCAGAGGGGCCCTCGCTCGCATGTCTAAAGCAACCCTGTATTAACGTGCTTAATTAAAACTGAATGTTTTTAAATGACTTGTGGTACTTAGGTTAAGCTTTGATGCATAGGCACGGTCGAAGACATCAGCTTTAAAGATTGTTATCCAGTAACTTAGGAGTTAATTTTCAAACATTTTTTAACAGTGCTTCATTTTATGTCTTGCAGATACTTTCATGCCTGGCATTACCAAGTCATATCCTCTTAGTCGGCCCAGATCATGTGTGAATATTGCTCATACCACGTAGCAGACAGTGACCTCCTCAGATCCTGGAGGCAAACCTTCTCTCTTGCCTCTTGGAGAAGCATGTCACTTATACTCCTCATAAAGGAAGGAAACTTTCACGTTTCACCTTGCACGCTTGCTCTGTGTCTGTCCTTTCATGCCAGTATTTTGTCTCAGGTGTACATTTAATAATGTGTTGTGGTTTGTTTTTTTTTTTTTTCCTTTGAGCCTAAAAATCTCTCATCCAAGTAGCTGTAGGCTCTGTCCCTCTGGTCTGAGGGTTCGACTGCTCTGAAATGCCGTACCTGCATAAGCTCACGGCGGTGGGGATTTTAAAGCGGCAAAGGGTTTTGGCTTCCAACTTCATTTCAGCGCTGATGGAAATAGTGTTTGGATGCATTTGGTGATTCAGACTAAAAGTACACTGATGTATTTTATGGGAAATGCCAGTATTTCCATCCAATTTTAGGTTGGACTGAATTGGCTTCTGGACCTTCTGATCCCTTCATTGACTCAGAGGGGGGTCTGGATGTGTATCTTACAGCGATGGCTGAAGTTAGATGCAGTGAGTTTCAGGGAGAGGAGTGTTTTGCCCTTGATTGTTTGTGTTGGTTGATGCTTTTTAATGCAAAATGTTGGAAATACTGTCTCTTTACTCCCACTTCAGATGGTTTCCGCAGTAGGAATGTGAGGTTTGTCAGAGTTGACCGGGGGGAGAAAAACAAGTAGCTGCATAAAGCAGCAATGCTTTTGATGTTACAATAGGAAGGTAGTGAAAATTGCAGGAGCTCTTAGGTACTATTTTTAGACTTTTTCTGCAGTTTTTTAGCTTTCATTGAAATAAAACAAAGCGCCTTCCCCCCCTGCCCCCCCGGAAGATAATACTTCAGCAGTAAGCAAATATACCTCTGAGACTGTCATGCAGGAAATGATCTCTCAAACAGAGGCAGTAATGGAAGGGGAGGAAGGGCATGCTATGCACTAAGTCACCCCACCAAGTGACTGGTGTTTTCAGCTCAAATGTAGCATTTGCCATTTTGATCAAATTCCGCTGTTAAAATAGGCAAGATTTGCCCTGCTGCAGCAGACAACTGAATGTGGTGTAACTGATGCCCAGCTTTCCCCTTTGTCCCGAATGCCACTGTCTGTCCAACAAGTACGATGAGGTGGTTGGACACCTCCCGGGTTGTTTTTTGTTCTTCCGTAACTTCAGTTTTCCACTTCCTAGGATGCGGTGATGTACTGTTCTCCGGCTTAGGTGATGGGGACGTGCTGTCGGAGCCTTCTCACACATCACCTGGCAGACAGGTGTTAACAGAGTGATAGGGCTCTTGCTTGTTTCTGAAGGCTGGTAGGTTTTGCAGTATCTTGTCTCTGAGGTCCTTCTGCACCGCACAGAGCTGGGAAAATGTTATCCGAAGCGCTGCTAAAGAAGGCACCATTCAGTCCGTGTAAATGAGACCGGGGTGTCCAGGTCGTTTACCAGTTGGCTCGGCCTTTCTGCATGGTGTCGTAAATGAGGCTGGCTCTGTTCATGCTGGTCAGCTGAGTTCTGTGCAGAGGGAGTTGATCTGAAATGCCTTCAGGGCTCAGTCCAGAACACTTCTGATCTGGGGTTGATTGCTCTGAAAGACATACAAAGGATAGGTGCAGTCCTGGTAAGCTTTGGTCTGCTGCTTCTTCACCTGTTGTGATCCTTTGAATCTCTGGCAGAGATTTTATCTAATCACTGGAATAGTTACAACTTCCCAGCTTTCTGTTCAAATGTGCTACCATTGACTCTGCCTTGGACTGTTACTTGCTCATTTACTCCAGGCCAAGCCTGAATAGCTGATACACCTTACTGTCAAAGCGCTAGTACAGTCGTGCCTGTGGGATATCTGCACACAGTCTTCTTGGAAATATCCCCCTTTTTCAGACTTGCCAGCTGATTTTTGATGCTGTCGCTTTGCAGTCGCTACTGTGGCAATTGGAGGTTTCAGCTTGCTTAGGCTCTTCGTGCTATACTAGTTCAGGGTGGATACATGCCGTAGGAAGGGTGTTTTCTAGCCTTGCCTTTAAGAAAAGCTGAACTTCACAAGATGATATTGTAACTGCTAATTTTTGCTATCTTTGAAGAAAGGGAAGTGGGAACCCTGAAATGTATTTTATGGTTTTCTTTTAAATCTCTGTTTAGTTTGTTTTTATCCATCTCAAGTGAGTAGTTTCCCAGCTCATATGAGGTTTATGAATTAATTATGGTGAGGCACGAGTTTTCTGTCTTTCAGAGGCTGAGCCACGTTTCTCTTCCAAGCCACGATCGCATGGACTGTCTCCTCTGTTTGCAGTTTTACGTGTGTTGTTGATGCATTCTTTAATTTCTGACCTCTAAACTGATTTAAGAAGCAAGTAGGAGAATTAGCCAGTTATTTTGGACCATTAGCAAGCACTCAGCAAACCAACTAGGAAACTCTTGGGTTCCGAGACAGGCAGCAGGATAAGACACATTTGGCAGTTACCTCCGTCTGCAGCAGCCTTCGTTACTGACAGTAATGTGAACAGAGTTCATTGATTTCTATTTGTAGTATGCCTAAGGGAGAAATGCACTCTTTCTTAGTGGTATGTGAGAGAACAGTCCCATGTCTCTTTATTTTGGCCTGATCTGTTTCTCTGTGTATTGCAGGACCTGTCTGGTTCAATAGATGATCTACCCATGGGTACAGAAGGAGCCCTGAGTCCTGGAGTAAGCACATCAGGGATTTCCAGCAGTCAAGGAGAGCAGAGTAACCCAGCTCAGTCTCCTTTCTCTCCACATACCTCTCCTCACCTGCCAGGCATCAGAGGACCTTCCCCATCCCCAGTTGGATCTCCAGCTAGTGTTGCTCAGTCCCGCTCTGGTCCGCTTTCACCTGCTGCAGTACCAGGTAACGCTACTCGGAACGTGTCAGTCTTTCAGTGGGGCTGCCTTATGCAGCTGGAGAGTGAATGACAGTGGCCGGTGGGGAGGAATTGGCCGGTGTCAGTACTATGTGGTTTTTGAGGTCCTGTGATCTCATTTGTTTGCTTTAAAATGTCTGTAACTTCTAAAGGGTGCAGTAAGATGGGTGGGATGGCTGGTAAACCAGCAGTGGCATTTTGCTGGGTTAATGTGACTGATCTTGCTCTTGTTTTTCTTCACTGTGGGAAACATACCCTTCTCCTGAAGGTGTTTGTGGTTCTGGTATTTAATACTGTTGCAACCTGAGTTTTGTGGTGTGCAATTTTTGTGAATAACCACTCTCCTTTTTGCGGTGTAGGCAATCAGATGCCACCCCGACCGCCCAGTGGCCAGTCGGACAGTATCATGCATCCTTCCATGAACCAGTCAAGCATAGCGCAAGATCGAGGTGTGTGACATGAATTAAAAGATTGAATTGTAAAGCTAGATGTGTAACTGAAAATTACCTGGCCTGATGAGATGGATTCTGTGGCGAGATAGCATTTCAAAGCTGCCCCAGTGTATAAGCTGCAAGTGTTTAGGCACCTTGCAGTAAATTCAGCTGTTACTGGTTGGTTGGTCTCTTCATGTTCCATCCAAGCTACTTTGGCTTGTAAGATGTTTTCTCTGGCTTCTAGCACGCACTTCCGTGAATGTTGCTTGTCCAAGGTCCATGACCTTAGGCTTCAAAATAAGGGGTGCTCGCAACAATATTGTGTGCTGTTTCCCCCCAAGAGAGAAAGATCAGTGTGCGGGAAACATGCATGTAAAATTTCAGCTCTCATGGCTGAAGATATACAGTTGTCGTCCTGAGAAAACAAACAAAGAAAAAATATGAAGAAGCCCCTAGGGTTTGCAGAGTCGTACTGTCTACTCCTGTGTCACTAAGTTGATTTTGGTTTTGTTTTTTTCTGGTTAAAACAGGAAATTGGATCTGTTATCTCAGCAGATAACACTGGCTCCTTAATAGCAACCGCTGTAAAATCTGTCTAGGCTGTTGCTGAAAGGATTTTGTTAGTGGGTTGTGGGGATTGCCGTTTCTTCAAAACACGTGTGTCCAGTGGCACCTCTGGATACTTTGCACTAATAACGTCTGCTCCACTCACTGGGTGACCAGGTTACATGCAGAGGAATCCTCAGATGCCCCAGTACAGCTCACCCCAGCCTGGCTCAGCCTTATCTCCCCGTCAGTCTTCTGGAGGACAGATGCACGCTGGAATGGGGCCATACCAGCAGAACTCCATGGGAAGCTACGGACCCCAGGGTGGGCAGTACGGACCTCAAGGTGAGGCACGGTTAGCTCCTCAAGGTGGGAACTGAGCTCAGCAAATAAAAAAGGTTTCTCTCTTGTCTTTGATAAACTGTTTTTATTTGTCCCCTCTTAATGTGTGAGTAATACAAAATACCGCGCTCCTCACGAGCTGGAAGGAACTGTATTTTGTTCATATTGAGATCGATGAAATATGTTACTTTTAGGGCTAGTTGTACTTCTAAATGTAGGGTCCTTCCTCCTCATTTTAAAAAGATGTAGGTTGTGCATCCAGTGTAATAGAGAAGAAGGGCCAATCCTCTTTGGAGAGAAAGAAAATTGGGTGTTGTATGTTCTGGAAAGGGTTAAGCGAGTTTTTTTTACATCCTGTCCTGGACCATTTAGCTCACTCTGCTTGGTTGAGGTTTGGGAGAGTTTCAGGCAGCTTTTGAATCAATGTTGTTACTTGGCTATGTCAAAACACATTTTATGTGGCTTATATCCAAGTACTTTGACTTTTTGTTGAGGTGTTAACACTCCCCCTCATCTCTGTTAGTGATCTTTAAATATTTGCTGATAGAAGACTTTTTTTTTTTAATGGTGATTCATAAACTAACTAGTTGAATGATGTTGTCTTCCTCTTTTTTTTATCTCCTTAGGAGGTTATCCCAGGCAGCCAAACTACAATGCTATGTCCAATGCCAACTACCCCAGTCCAGGAATGGCAGGAAGCATGAACCCCATGGCAGCAGGGAGCCAGATGCATGGGCAGACTGGTGTGCCACCATACAGCGGGCTTCCTCCGGGGAGGATGAGCCATGCAACCATGGGGAACAGACCTTACGGACCTAACATGGCGAATATGCCACCTCAGGTGGGGACAGGGATGTGCCCCCCTCCAGGTGGCATGAATCGCAAAGCACAAGAAGCGGCTGCTGCCGCCATGCACGCTGCTGCCAACTCCATCCAGAACAGGTAAGGAATGAGATTCCCCTGGTCTCTGTTGAAGTCCCTTCCCTATGTCACATGTGGGTTTCAAAGCTGTGGATGGAGTAACCCAAATTTGGGGTAATACTGAACTTCCTTGAAGGTTTACCCTTCTTGTAGACTTTTTCATCAGTCTTGGGTGTTGAAAAATGAAGAGCTTAAAGCTTGGACAAGCAGTGTGTTGGAATACATCATTAAAGACGTGCTTAGGGAATTTTTAATATTCATAGGTGAAATCTATTTAACTCTGAAATCCCTTCAGTTGTTTTTGCTTTCTGGTCTTTGTTACATGAGTGACTTAAAAGATGCTGTGTGTGTGGTAAAGCCCATAAATCTAGCAGCCAGCCATCCAGCTGCATTTGTCTGAACCAAGGCATTACTTGTCCAGTGCAATGAACTTTTTCCTTTTAGGGCCTTGATGAGCAGCTGTGGGAAGGGGAGCTGGAATTCAGCACTGAACTTTGCAACTATTTTCTGTGTTGGGTGTTTTTTTTTATTGCACATTTCGGAGTCAGTGCATGTGGCCTACCAGGAGCATGAGAGCCACGAACTGGTTTATAAGTTGGGCTCCCCCAGTAAAGCTGTTAGGTGCATTTGTTACCTGACCAGGCATTGTGCTCGTTATTCCGACTTAAGGGCTGCTTCTGCAATCTACTGTCTGATGTTACCTATGACTGCCAAGAGGTCAGGTTCCCAAACGCCAATAAAGGCATCAAAGCCTGTCCCTTTGAGTAACAAGTTTGAGCGACAGTTGTGTATGAGGTTTTCTGAGATGTGTCAAATAATGTAGCTTGTATGGGTAACACAGAGGAAAGAAATAAAGGAATATCATTAAAGGTGGCTGGAGCACTACACTGTTTGTCTATGCAACTAATGTATTTTCACGTAAATGCGCAGGGCTGCAGTATTTGCAGATCTGTTCTTCCCTGTAAAGGCAACTTAACAACTGAAATGAAGTTCAGTTTGGGGATGTAGTGGAACAAGATTAAGGGTGAAAATGTTCAGAACTGAAAGCCCTCTTTCAAAATGGTTTGCATCCCCTTTTCTTTTGAGAATGAGACTTAGGCTGTAGGGTAGCTAAGCTTTAAGAGAGCACCTGATCTTTGGTCTTTTGCTGGAAAAGCAAGCTGGAGAAAGTCACTTCTCCCCTTCCTTTGTAGAAGGTTTCTTTTGGCAAACCTGCCTCCTTAGGAGACATGATCTTAATACTTAGTATTTGGAGTAAGCGTCTGTTTCTTCCTTGCCTTCTCTAGGCCTCCTGGTTATCCCAACATGAATCAAGGGGGAATGATGGGCACTGGACCTCCTTATGGACAGGGAATTAACAGTATGGCTGGCATGATAAACCCCCAGGGCCCACCCTATCCGATGGGCGGGAATATGGCTAACAACTCCGCAGGTAAGGCAGTGCTGACTGTTAGGATTTCATTGGTTTCATTGCTCTGGATTGAAAATGAGTGTCAAATATTCTTTTAACTTCCTAGGGATGGCAGCCAGCCCTGAAATGATGGGTCTTGGGGATGTCAAATTAACACCTGCGACTAAAATGAACAATAAGGCAGATGGGACACCAAAAGCAGAATCCAAGTCAAAGGTAAAATGTTTCGGGTTCTTCAGCATCCAGGGAGAATAAAACCATTGCATGTTAACTTGGGTTGAACAGTGCATCTATCTAGTAGTGAGTGTGGTTCCCGAGAGAAACCTAATTTGATTTATCCTCCTTACCCTGACCAGACTTCCATTAGCATGGTTGTCCTTGTAGTATGTGATCTGACTGCTACTTGTGACCATGGCTCTAACTCAAGAGTGTGGCGAGTGAGTGGGATATTCTCTTTCAGGGTGTGTTACTTTTTTGAGCGTAATAAGCGTCTCAAAACCTGTGTGTATGTGTGTTTTAGAGTAGGCTCTGGCTATATTTGCAGTATTCTTGAAGGAGCCTGAGCTCTGCCATCCCCCACAGAGACCCACTAGCCCTCAGTAAGGCCAGGAAAGGGACTTTTCTATCAGAATTCACATGCCCTCCCCCGTTTATGACTCAAATTCTAGATAGAAGCTTGAACTCGTAACAGATGCCTGGCACACCTTATTTATGTGCCCTCATTTCAGTTGTGGGCTGGTCTTGCCTTTATTAACTGGGGAGAAGGTAGCTGAACAGATGTACCTTTTCAGTCGGCTTTATTCAAGTCCCCAGATCCTATGAATAGCTAATTACGCTGTTGCTTGAATCAGAAGTGTAAAGGTAAAGACCGTGTAGTTGAAGGGTTCAGTGTAAGGAGGTCCAACATGAATTACGCTTGATGTGTCCAGCCCTGGCTGTGCTTCAGCTGTGCCAGTGGTTCCAAGAGGTTCATCAGGATTTACCAGGAAAATTCAAACAATTGAGGATTTTACTTCTGGGACTCATCAGCTTTTCAGGAATGGAGGGGAGCAATTCAGTTTCACTTGCAAAACAAGTTAGTATTAGGAATTATCACCTGCCCCAGTGAAACTGCCAAAGGAAGCGTAAACAAACCAGAGGTTGTTTCTGATGTAGGCTTAGAGCAGTCAGCAGGGAAACAAGTTCTTCAGGGAGTGTTTTTCTGTGCATTACTGCTACCAGTTTCAAAAGATCCACCAAAAAAGCAGTTTCTGAGCCCATAGTCTCCTCTTTTGCTACTTAAAGGAAAATAAATGCTCTGCAAGTTTGATACCTGTACCACCTTGCAGTCTGCAAGAAGATTCAGAAGATCTCTTACTTCTGCTCATGTGTTCTGGCATCTGTTTTTCTGTTTACGACAAACAAGGACTTGATTGCTCTTGGGCTAGGAGATGCCAGAAGCTACAAGTAAGGGTTGTTCTGTCCTCCTGGTCTGTGCTATTCAAGGATTATCTCTCATGCTAATGAATACGCGCAGTCTTGCGTGTAGGGGTTCATCTAGAATATCATCATATTTGAAGTTCACTTCTACTTTGGAAGTTAATTTTTAAGTAAGCATTCAGAATGCCAAAACCATTTCTACCTTTACTCCAAGTGTATGTGATCCAGGCGGTGAAGGACAAAACAATATGCTCATGCACTACCTCAAAAGACTTGGGGGAAGCAAGGCAAGATGCAGGACCACAGATTTTACCTCTAAAGAGACACCTGGACAGTTCAGTGAATCAGATGTGTAGGAACTAGTGTGTGATACTTCATAACTGTAAACTTGTATTCCAAATTCCTGTCGTACCTTTCCATATCAGTCTTCCCTGAATCCTGATATGGCAGCGATAGCAAACCAATATGGGAGTTTGTCGTATCTGGGTAGCGAATAGGGAAGGGAAGAGAGATGGTCTTGGTGGGGGACCTCTTGCACACATTCATCAAAGAGGTGCCTCTAATCTTTCTTTTTCTTTGAGGTGTGTTTATTTTTATTCCTTTGCAGTGATTAGTGTCAGTTTAACCTGGCATCTACCATTTGGGTAAGAGAAGAGACAAACTGGAGGGCAGTATTCACCCTGGCAGAGTGCAGTAGCCATGGGGAATCTCACTTGCAGTTGAATTAGATGTTTTCTCATATATTTAGCAAATGAGCCCACAAAGGATGTCTCAAAGAGATGGCTCTCTGCAAAGTCGTCTTAAAGGGGTTTTTTTGGGTGTGTGTAGCACTCCTGAAACCTTTAACTTTTTAAAAATACATGTTCTCTGAATTCCCTGAGTGGTACCTGGTTTTGTGATGCCTTTGTTGAATAATACTTGCCTGACGTTGATCTGAGACAAGTGTAGGTCTAATATAAAGCTGTTCTCAATATAACAGCGGAACTTTGAACTCTTACCTGGCGGCCTTTTTGAAACACTTTCAGATGTGAACTAGCTGCTTTTGTGCTGCTCAGTCCTGATATCTCTTTCCTTCTCCTAGAAGTCCAGTTCCTCTACTACAACCAATGAGAAGATCACCAAACTCTACGAGCTGGGTGGTGAGCCCGAGCGGAAGATCTGGGTAGATCGTTACCTCGCCTTTACCGAAGAGAAGGCCATGGGCATGACCAATCTCCCAGCGGTAGGCAGGAAACCCTTGGACCTTTACCGGCTCTACATCTCGGTGAAGGAGATCGGAGGATTGACTCAGGTGGGTGTCCAGCAGCCAGCCTGGTGACGGGGTGTTTGTATGCAGAGCTGCCCACTGTCTGGCAGTCACAAGCCAGTGGGCAACACGGTTGAAAGTTAGCTTTGTAGCTAGATGTAAGCCACAACTTTCCTTTTAGCTCTGTTGATTTTACGTTTTTAAATAATGCTTATAAAACGCAGCATCCTTTAAGTGAACCAAATGTCTGGTTGAGAAGAGTCTGTGGTGAGATTCAGTGCAAGTGCTTTTTTTCCTGCTTTGTCCAGTGCAAAGATTGGTGACGCTGTCTTTGTCTTTGCATCTGGCTGTCAACTGATCTCATGACTAATTTGCTTTGCAGTCTGTCACTGCTTGAAAAGTTTTCTGTAGGTGAGGAAGAGAGTTTACTAGTTTTGAACACAAAACTGTATCTGTTTCGCTTAGCCCTTGTTGCATCCTTTGTGTTAGCTGGGAAGTGTTGATTTCTCCCCAGGAAGTTTCTTGGAGGAGAAGTAGCTGGGATTTTGAGTTTAAAGCCTCTTGTTTGGTTGCTCAGGTCAACAAGAACAAGAAATGGCGTGAGTTAGCCACAAATCTCAACGTGGGCACGTCCAGTAGTGCAGCTAGTTCTTTGAAGAAGCAGTACATCCAGTGTCTCTATGCCTTTGAGTGCAAGATTGAGCGAGGCGAAGACCCCCCTCCAGATATCTTTGCAGCTGCCGATTCAAAGAAGTCTCAGACTAAGATACAGCCTCCATCTCCAGGTGAGTTTAGACACTGGGTTTAAGGTGTGCAAAGAATGTTTGAACCAGAGGATCTCTGGCACTCTATGCCTGACTCTACGTGCTGTGGGCCAGGCTGGTTCCAAACTTCCACAAAGCCCCTGAATGTGTTTCTAATTAGATGTTCTGTGGTTCTGTAGATTAAGTACTTTTGTAATGTGGGAGTGAATTATACTGGAAATAAGTCAAGCCTCTTGGGATGGTTCAGGTTTTATGTGTCCCACCTCTCTACTAAGCTTAAGAAAAAGGAAAACCTAAAAATATTTATGTACCTATATACACGCATCTCTATGCTTACTAGTACATCACTGCCTTATGAGAATCTGGTGGAGAAAGAAGTCTGGAGTTATCCCTGGAAGGTCATCTCTGCATATTGTAACAGCAACCCTTGTTGGGAACTTGCTAGAAAAGTTGTGCTTGTTTTGACTATGCACGTGCTACCTTCTGCTTCTGGGAGTAAATGCTAGATGTGAGTGTGCACTCATCTTCCTCATGAATTACTTCTTTCTGTCTTCAATGCTGAGGCTTTGTGCACAGAGCATTGTAAGCCTAGTACAAGTTGGATGCTCAAGACATTGAGCCCTTTAAAATGAACAACTACAGTTTCAAATTTGATGGGGCGCTCCAATTTCTGAGTATTTAAGCACAGTGTTCAATTCAGATTTGTTAAACGAGAAAAAAAAAAAGGAGAGGGGAGCAAATGTCCAGGCTAGCAGTGTGTGCTGTACTCTTTAGTATTCGGAAAGTCTGATCATTTCTGTCTCATTTGAATTGAGTTCATTGCTTGAATTGCTGCTGAACTTGCCAACCCTTTAAGCTTCAGTTTTCCAGTTTGACTTAAAAGTAAAACCTTCAGATGCTTTTTCTGGTCAGTTTTTTCTGGAGCCTGTTCATGTAGGCGAAATAAAAACTTCGTCTGCATTGAAGTTCTTCTAATGTTTGCAAAAAATGCCTTTTTGGTTCTGAAACCTGGCATCATCTTTGTCTAGTTCCTGAGGAGTGGAATAATGAACCTTTTTTTCATTGTACTGCAGTCGTATCTCAGCCCTACTAAGCCCTGGATCGACAGTGTGCTTGTCCGAATATTCTGTTGGCAGCTACATTGATCTGTCCTCTCAGTTACAGAACGTTGTTTTTCTAAAGAACTAAATCATGTCTTTTCACTGGTCGGGAAACCTGTCCCAGTGTAGCTTCAACCTTGGTGTATTCTGCAAGATAAAGCAACTTTTGTGTCATTAGACCAAACTTTGTCTGAAGTGATGTCTGAGTTCCGCTTAAACTAGACCACAAATCCATCCCCACTTTCTTTCCAAAACCTCTTTCTCGGCCCCCTGAGATACTGGGCAGTGGAACAAAGATGTTAAGAGCATTTGGAGTTTATTTGGAGAGGGCTGAGACTTCTAGGAAGCCGCTTAAAACTTGCTGTAGCACTGGGTGCCTGTCAGAATGGATTGAATGGTGCATCAGTTTTTACTTTGTTTTAACTAATATGGTGGTACGTGAAGGTCGTGAGTCTGCCTTCTGGGCTGTGGTACAGGTGATCTCTTGCTTCAGCTCATCAGCAGTAGGAATTTGCAGGGCTGCTGTCCCAAACTCTGCCTGTTTGTGTGTGTCTCTGACTTAGTCCACAGGTTTGACTCCTGCTGTGTGAGAGGGCTGTGCTGTATTTAAACTGTTCTCTCCACTTGTCTTACTCCAGACTCCTCCAACTAGGACTATGCAGAGGCAGCACTGAAGCATGGTTGGTTGCTCTGATCCTTTAAGCCCTATCAGTCAGCATGTTCATGTTCCCCTTTCACTTTTCTTTCTTCCTCTCTCGTGTTCCCATGGATGGGCAGGAGCTGAGGGTGCAGGACACATCACAAATTGCTCGCTCAACCCCAGCTCCAGGCTTAAGAGCCGTAGAGGAGCATTGAGTCCCAGTGGCACTGCTGTTCCAGCGGCTGTTCCAGCAGCATCCTCCAGACTTGCACGCACACAGACCTGTCCCCCAGCAAATCACCCTGCCGGAGAATAACTTCCCTGTTTAAAAACCGAGTGGACGACTGTGGGGTATTTTGAAGTCCCACCGTTTGGATGGAGGGCTCTGTCATCCCACGCAGACACACGTGCTTTGCTCTCCTTGCAGACTTTAAAACCTCTTGGTGTTGGCTTACACTTCATGTCAAATTAACTACTGCATAACTTTGTGAATTACGAGGATCGCACTGCACGGTTCTCCATTAACCACTTTTTGAGGCTGCAGAGCATCTGAAGGCCTTGCAGGACAATCATCTAGGCAGAGCTTTTGGTGCCGGAGCTGTTTCCATGCAGTGTGCATTCATAACCCTCAAAAAGCAAAAGTATTTTGGCTGGAGCGGAGTGGGTATGGCCTCACCGGCAGCCGGCGCGAGTTTCCTGCAAACCTTCCTGGGTTCCTGCTCAGAAACTTGCAGCGTGTCCCTGGGGAAGCATAATCAGTCTGCTGTTGGATTTTAATTCCCAGAGTGTGGAACTGGCCCAGCTCCAACTGTGTGTAAATTTGTGAGTGGGAGGGACGGCGGGGGGTGAGGACAAACACCAAATGGCAGCGACGCAGGGAATGTCTCCAG